GCAAACTCATTTTGATGCAAATTAGAGGAAAATGTTGTGGAAAAATTTGCTTTTTGGTTAGATTTTTTTATCCTCTTCTGTTCACTAATAATAGTTTCTGAGCGAATTAATTTTTTTTAATCCTTCAAATAGATCTGTATGTGAAAATAAACCGCGTCGATCAGCATTTTTAAGTAAAATTCTTGGCAAATTCACGGTCCAGCCGAGAAAGCTCGCGTTCCATCATGTCGCCGAGTGCATTTCCCGAAACGTGCGAAACATTTGGAATCCTTCCGAGTTTCGCTGGCATCCGGCCAGCTTACTCTTTATCCGATGACCCGAAAGAGGTATGAACCGCGTTGAAAAGTCGAGGAAAGTGGAACGGAGGATTTAACGTTCGAGAAGCCATCGTTTCAGCGATCTCGTTGAAAAATCTGCGGTGAACAAAAGGAGAGAATACGGCTACGTCGTATTCAGAGCTGTGAAATGTGCCTTTTGTTCCATGGGTGAGGAACACGTTTATCCTTTGAAAAGAGGAACTTTTTCATTTTGCCAAAGTCAAACAGAGAATCGGGAAACATGCCGGATTAATTGGTGTTCTTTGTATTGAGCTGCTCTGGTCTCTTTAAATAGAGAGTTGCTGTTTCGTTCTGCGATTGAAACGGTATTCGGAGTTTTAGTATCTTTTTGAATTTCTTCCATTGCAAGTGCCTTATGAAAGTAGGAAAAGAAATTTGATATGGACATAAATAAGTAGCTTGGAATTAAAATAAGAAATGTATATCCGATCAAATTTAACGTGATACAAGTTGACAGAAAAAATTAATCTTGCGTTTATTAAGATAAAAAAAGAAATAGAAATCAAGTTGGAAGGGCAAATCAATCTTGAATTTTGCACACCAAACGTGAAAATGTCCTAATATTTAACAATTTTCATTGCAATTTTTCTAACTTTATATAAAAAATTATTTTCTACTATTCAGTACACTATACTACAGCAAATTCCTTCTTTCTAATTTATAAAAATTGCTACTCGAACAAAACTTGAAATATGAAATGGACTCGCTAATTTCACCTGTTGAAAGGACATTTAATTCCCACCAACCTAACAGCTGTTCCTCAATTACAACCAACACCATCGCCAAGCAATCGAACCATTTTTCATTTTAACATCGAACAAGGTTTGCTCATCTCCACCTGATACATAACATTAACTTCAACATTCCTTTCTCTCTGTTCTAACTTTCTAGCAAAACACGTTCGGTCCCCGTTTACATAATACGCTTTGCTGATTTCTACTGGAACATTAACATTACTCTTCGATCATTTCCTTCCTCGTTACACTTCGCGTTCTAATTTCTACTCGGAGTTACACTCCCGAGGATGCATACATTCCTGCGAAATGTTACATTCGGCAATTATCGCTGCCTCCTCTGTAACAAACCTAGAAACAGTTTTTGGATCCATGGATCGGTACCATCGTTGATCCGGATACGGAGAACTCTAAAACCTCCCAGTATCAAACACGGTGGAATACCTTTCACTTGAGCAATGTCACGAAAGATTCTTGATATCGCTTCGAGAGTCAGTCGATGATTTTCACTCGCGGAACAGACAACTTTTGCTCCCGGTTACGGTTTCGTCGGCGCTTTTCCACTGTGCATTCGTGGACACGCTCGTGAATTGAGGTGAAAAGGTGATCGAAGAAGTGTAGGATAAGATTTTTCAGTGTCTCTGCGACGGTGTTACGGTGAACAATTTTTTAAACGATTTCTGTGCGAAGATGTCATTCGTGAAACTCTTTGGAAGTGAATTGTACAACGTGTGCGAGTAGTTTTGTTGTGAATATTGACGAGTTTGGTGTTAGGAGGATTTCAAGAAGTTTCTCTTTGCTGGTTACAGTTCCTGTTTTACGTCAACTTTGTTATTTGAAGATTGTGATTAATTCTTTACTAAATCCCATAATAGTCTTGTCAAGCTAAGGATATTACTTTAATTAAAAATTTAAGTTGAATATAAGTTTAATTTATCCTTATGTTTGGTAAATTTTGCTGAGCGAAATTGAATTTTGAACATTATTAAGTTGTACTTGAACTGAGCTTAATATTGCTATTTTAGTAGTTAATTTGAAATTAGATTTGAAACGTAGGAAGGTTGAAAATTGATGCACGTTTGTAGGATAGCTGTTCTGTTGCAATTTGTCTTCCAACTTTTCTCTCCTCGCCGTACAAGTTTCCCGCTCTCTGTACACTTTTCTTCACGCCGGCACGAAAGAACCATACTCGAAATCGATTCCCACGAACTAACAACTTGTGTCTGACGTGACCGACTTCAAAAAACTCCATTCCAAAGGAAATTGAAGCTCAGCTGCTCAGAGAACTAACAGTTTCCGTCGCTCTTACTTCGTGGAACACTTTGAAGACCACTTTACCGTAGATCGAAGGTAGAAAAATAAATCGTAGAAATGTTTTATTGAAGTTGCTTCGAGCAGAATTTGTCTAATATGAATATCGACCATTTCTATAGAAATTGACTACGTATGTAACATTTACCGATTAAATAGTCACATAGGCCACCTAATTACCTTTGTTAGCTTTGATGATACGAACAAATTTTTATACGTAATTTTAATTATTTTATAGCGTGAATAAGATGGGAGGAAAACTCGTTTCATGGAAGAAATAGCTGGAGAAAATAATTAAATGGCCTGCTAAATATAAAAATACAAATATAATAAAATAGAGAAACAAAAAATCTCCAAAAGAACATTTTTTTCATATTTTGACTATTCAGGTAAATTAACAAAACTATTGTTTATTTAGACATAATAAACGATACAAATTGGCAGTTCTTTCTGTCGTGATAAAGTTAAGTAAAGTAAACTAAGTATGAATAATAAAGTTGAGTAAATTAAAGCAAGTGTGAATAACAAAGTTCTCATTGTCTGTCAAGAAAATTAGGAGAAATGAAGAAAAGTGGGTGTGTAAGAATGGACGTTAGAAAAATTCCAGATTGCCAGAAAGTAGTTAAGTTTCGAGGAAGACACGTTGGACCAGTAAGGAGAACACATTGAACAGTTGTATTATACATCAAAGTTAAAGTCACGTCACACATCACGTTGCGCCGCTGCAGGTCAATTAATCTTCGGGTAATTAATTTGATGCAGGGAATGTTTGCGCGATTCGATCGGCAGAAAGTTATTTGAAAGGAATCGTGCAATATCAGACGATCGTCAATCAAGATTCAACACCAAAGAATGCGAAAATTGATTCGACGTGGCGCTTCCAAGAAGCTCGATTATTAAGGGAAAATTGCGATAGAAAGTTTAACGTATAATTTAACGATTACCAGGATTGTTGGAGAATTCCAATCTGAGTGGTGAATACATTGCTGCATTGTGGAAGAAAATTTGCGTATAATTTTTTGCTAAATATGTCGATAATTCGCTTGAGAAATTGGAGAAATGTCAAATTTGGGGGGCAAAGTGTTTTTTAGCTGAAAGAGTAAATAAACAGATGGGCAATTTTTTATGTAAGAGGGAATTATTTGCGTAAAAGGATATTTATTTTACGTAAAAGAAGATTAATTATATATCGGATGATGTTTAATATTAAAGGAGGATTAAAAGAAAACTCTAAGTACGTCAACAGGGTGAATTATGACAGAATATACTTTTCAAGTCGATCGAAGGAAATATATTCATTGCTACGTTCATAAATAACTTTACTGTAGCATTAGCATATGACGTTCAATTATAAAATCGTCACGTTACGTTTAACGTTTCGCACTTGTCGTAAATTTGAATACTGACCTTTAGCACCTACCGTTATTACAATTGTCCTTAAAAATACTAACGATTTTCATTATATTACGTACACTAGCGGCCGAAAATTTGGAATCACCTGCCAATTTATGTTAATATTGAATCTGCTACTAATTCTTTATTGATTTGAAATTGATGTTGTGGAGATCAATAGGACTTGACCTCATTTCGATTGATTTGAATGATAAAAAATTGGTTGAAAAATTATTAGAAGTACTAACTTTTTGGGGGAATTTTTGTGCAACTTGCAATGCACAGTGATTCGAAACGTTTGGCCGGTAGTGTGTGTGCATAGTTTTTGTGGTTTGTCGTAAATACGATGTAGTAATTGTATGTACTACTTGTTGTAGCTAATTCAAGTACGACACGTTTTAGCAACCTGTTTATTCAACGTTAATCCGGAATTCTACTGGCGAATATTCATTGCGAGCATTTTTGCTTGCTAAGGAAAATGACGAGCTCTGAACGGTGATAATGATGTAGAAATTAACGCTGACTGTCGGTCGGCATTCTAAAGTAGAGTGTATAATGTTTAGAGCTGTTCGAATTTATGAAAGAATGAATACTGTGCCATGTCATTTGGAATCCCTTTGTCTCGCCTCAGTTACAATTCCAAGCAAGTAGA